TGGGCAGAGAAGTGTAGTGTAGCGATAGGGTAGTGGCAGCTAGCGCTGCCATAGCCATAGCCTAGTGTGTGTGTGTGTTGTGTATGAACATTGAGTGTCGCGCGTGGGACATTCAGGGTGATCTCGAGTGTGAACAGTGAGTTGTATGGGCGCACAGTCGCCATAGCCAGTTGGAAGAGAACTCATATCTGGTTACGATATCTTTAGGTACTTTGTGGGCGCATGTCGCGAGTTCGCTGTATCGCTGTTTGCAAGCATGATGAAGTGTGAATAAGTCGAGTATGATTGCAAAAGTCTCTCCTTTGCAGTTAAGTTTCGGGATTCATCCCAAAATTAAAATTTTAATGCGCATACTCTCATTTGAATTATTCCGGATTTTTTTTTTTTTTCCGAAATTATCAGAACGTGCAAAATTTTATTTTTAAAATTTTGCACGTTCCATTATGATCCTTTGTTATCATTATGCAAGGAAAATGAGCGATCGCGAATTCCATAAATCAAGCAGCATCATACAGATGAAACCAGATAGTCTTGACCTCGAACCAAAAGCAGAATTGCAACTTGAGTTTCACCAAATACGAGCACAGCAAAAACTCACCAGTGACAATGTTGGAATAGTCTCATCATCATCAACAATGAACCAATGCCGAATCCCTATCTGGCGCTTAGTGCCCAAAATACGAATGGTAGATCCTATCTAGCCTATCTACAATGTCGTTGGTGACATCAACAGCGTCCTGAAGTACGAGCAGATCTCGACCAATGTCGTTCGCCTCAAGCACCAGGTATGTCTCACGCTTCACTCACAACCTCGATCCCCCACACAGATGCCACATGCACCCAAGGACCACCTTGCGCCCCGTCCAGCAACATGCAGGCCTTCTTGGATATGGCTGCCTGCTTCTTCCCTGGTCGTCTGTGAGCGCATAGGCACTCGCTCCAGCAGCTGGCGCAGCAGCACTTGCGCATAAGCAGCGAGTGCCCGAATGCCAAATGCGAAGGCAGGCACTTCCCTTTATGGAAGTGGCCTGCCTGCTGCTTGCTGCCTAGCTGTGCTGGGCCCCTACCCAGAAGCTTCCTGTAGGCTGCAAGTGCCTGAGGCCAGAATATTCCGCAGGGCCCCGGGTGGTTACGAGTGTCTAACTGCCCAGCGTGCTGCGTCCAGTTTGTGCCCCGTGTCTGCCCCAGGGCCTGTGCTCAAAAACATAGGAAGGGCCTAGAAGCCCTTGGTCGGATCTGTTGCCCACGGCCTGGGTCCATTCAACCAACTGACGCAGCATAACTATCTAAGCCCCACTTTGCGAAATAGGATGAAATAGGCCTCATGTGATTTTACAGGGCCGCCTTCACTTAGGGTGGCCATCCTTGCTAAGAGGCCCAGGATGCTCAAGGCGGGATGTGGCCTCACATTCCGTCCTCCATACTTCGACAGCCCTCTGGTAAGTTCAGTCACTCAATCTGGCGCTTTCCTTTCTGCAATGACTTCTTGTAACAAGTGACAATCCGAGGAGCTGTCCACATCTCTTGTAAACCACCTGTCCTCCTTTGGATCCGTGTGATGTTTGAAGGATACACCGTACTGCAACTTTGGGTTCGGAGGTCGTCCCCTGCCAGTTGGTTTCGGCATCGACAATTCCCTGTGATCTACGATGTTGTCGATGTTGACTTCTCCATCCATGGTTGGGGGCAGCATTGACTGACGAGAGGGAAACTAATCGGTTTCCTTAAAAGGTGCAAGTTTGGAGGCGTGAAAGACAGGGTAGGTGCGAAGGTGACCAGGGATTTGTATCACATAGCAAGGCCCATCGGGATCATCTCCGACAATGTCTAGAACCTCCCATGGTCCGAAATACTGTGGCATGAGCTTGCGGGAAATGTCGTGCTCTTGCCCGAGCTCGGAAGCCTTTACCCAGACTCTATCCCCAAAAACTCAGAAGGGTGGCGGTGTTTGTTTTCTGACTCTATCATTGCCGCATGTGCTCTGTGCATGCTGTCCACTGCTTGTTGCGTAAGAGTCTGATAACGATAGGCAAACTCCAAAGTACCAGGCACAACAGTGGACTGGTTCCCAGGTAGTAGGAAGTCTAGAGGCAATCGGGGTTTGAAAG